CAGTTTTGTGTTCAGTCCTTGGTTGGGTTGTAGGCAAAAGGCAACTGATTGAAGTTTCTCTCTCTCTCCCTTCTTCTCTCTGAAATCAATGAGCATGCCCTTGGCTAAGGATTAAAATTAAAAAAAAGAATGATGGTTTTGCTCATTAGTAGTTTTTGGATCTTTTTAGTAATGGCTGGTTTTTCTGATTAATTAAGAATTATTTTAACTTTTTATTGTTTAAAGTATTACACATGGGTACATCTACACAATGGAATACTATGCTGAGGTAAAAAAGAAGGAACTCTTGCCATTTGCAACAGCATAGATGGAACTGGAAAGCATTATGCTAAGTGAAATTAGCCAGTCAGAGAAAGATAAATACCACATGACCTCACTCATTTGTGGAATATAGAGAATGACAGACTGATGAACAGGGACAGATCCAAAGACAGAGAAACAGTGTTCAGACTATCAATCCACAGAGGGAAAGTAGGAGAGGGCGGGGGTAAGGGGAAGAGATCAACTGAAGCTCTTGTATGCATGCATATAAGCCAAACCAATGGACATGGGCAATAGGGGGATGAGAATATGAATTGGGGGGAGGGGGGTTAATGGGGGGGGATAAGGACACATTTGTAATACCTTAACTAATAAAGAATTAAAAAAAAAACACACCCCAATTTGAGATCTACTTCATGTTTTTATGTATAGGGAACAACAGAGCCACCCAGAGACATGGATGCTGAGAGGATGGCGGAACCTACACTCTATGGAGGCTATTTACTCTGTGTGATAGCTTCATGGTGTATAGTTCAATTCCACACCTCAGCACTATTACAAAGAACTACTACACACATGGATCTCTGGGCTCACACTGAAAATAACACAAGTGCTAAAACCTCCAATGCCAAGGGTGTTTTATGTACTATCTTATCGTGACGGTTTAAAAGGTGATATGGGGGATATCATCATTTTCATTTGGTAAATAAAAACAATGAAACCCAAGAAGGACAAGTTTGCCCAGAAATGTAACCTATAGAGTGAAGGCTTGAAACCAGGCCTCAGACCTCGGCTCCTGGCATGTGGTTGACTAAATGCTCTGAAAGACCTTACTGCTGCAAAAGCACCAAATGCTGGAAAGGACAAGCTCTTTGAGACAATTCTGATTTCATGAGAGTTCAGAGGAGTCTTCAATGACCATCCCCTTCAAATAAACAAACAAATCCTCCAATCTGGGGTCTGTGTGATAGGTAGGCAGCGGGGCAGAGCTACCTGAGGATAGATGCCAGTAGCAGCACTGCTATCAGGAAGCTTCATTTCAAGCCAGAAATATCTGGAAAAAAGCTTCCCTAATGGTAATTAAGGCCACCAATTAATATGAGGTATTGAGATAACAATCAAGGATCATTAAACATACAAGATAAGCCACTAAGGTGGAAAATCAGAAAAAAACAACAACAATAAATAAATAAACGATTTAGACTCCCCCCTGCCAAAGACGTTGAATATTAAAAATATCAGAAACAAAATATAGGACAACTATATCTGAAATATTTAATGAAATAAAGGACTTGATTACAAAGATGATGAATTAATAGGTAAATGTTAGATATAGACAGATGAATCTGTAAAGTCAAGCAACAAATGGAACTGCTTGAAATAAAAAAAAAGAATATAACAGTCAATATAAAAACTAATTTAGCATAGACAAAGTTGAAGAGAGAATTAAGAAACTGGAAGATATAGCTGAAAAAATTACCAGCATACCAAAATAGAGATAAGGAGTCGAAAGGTATGCATGACTCATTAAGAGATCGAGTAGGTAGATGAGAAGATCTAACATACGTCTAATTAGAGTACCAGAAGGAGAGAATAGAGAGAATGAGGATGGGCAATATTTAGAGTGATGGCTGCAATTTTTAAAGAATTAGCAATTATTATTTAAATCTTCAATATCATTCAAGAAGTGAAGAAAAATATAAATCTATATACTTAGGAAGCATAACATATTCCAAGCAAAGTAAGTAGAAAAAAGTCCATGTCTAGACACATGGTAGTAAATCTGCACATCAAAGGCAACAAACAGATTGTAAAAGCAGCTAGAAATAAGGGGAGATTACCTACAAAGAAATGATAGTAGGAATTAGGCATAACAACTAATTATACAGTGGAATAATTCATCTAACATGCTGAGGGACAAAACCTGTCAATTTAAAATTGTGTACACAGCAAAACTATTTTTAAGAGCAAAAAATGATAAAGACAATTATTATATGATCTCACTCAAATGTGGAATCAAATGAACAAAATAAACTGATGAACAATATAGATCCAGAGACATAGAAGCATGGAACAGACTGACTAATCTCAGAGGGAAGGGAGGAGAGGGGGCAGGAAGGGATTAACCAAAGAACTTATATGCATATATGCATAACTCATAGACACAGATAATATTGAGGTGAAGGCCTTTGGGGAGCGGGTACAAGGTGGAGGGGATCAAGTGGGAAAGAATGGGGACATCTGTAACACTTTCAACAACAAAGATAAGTTAAAAAAAACCTGATTGATGAAAACTAACATGTGTACATGTCTAAATACATGGATGAAAACTGAAAACTTAAAGAATAAAATAAAATAAAAGAGTCAAATTTCAGTATAAAAAATGAAAACAATTATATAGATAAACAAAGGCCAAATGAATTTATCATACAGGAACTACAGGAACTTCTAAAGAATGTACTTTAGGCCAAAACCGGTTTGGCTCAGTGGATAGAGCGTCGGCCTGCGGACTGAAAGGTCCTGGGTTTGATTCCGGTCAAGGGCATGTACCTGGGTTGCGGGCACATCCCCAGTAGATGTGCAGGAGGCAGCTGATCATGTTTCTCTCTCATCGATGTTTCTGACTCTCTATCTCTCTTCCTTCCTCTCTGTGAAAAATCAATAAAATATATTAAAAAAAAAAGAATGTACTTTAGGACACCTGAAACTAATATAATATTATATGTAAACTGTAATTGAAAAGTAAAAAAAGAAAATAAGTGCAATTTAAAAAAAGAGAAGCAAAGAATGTATGTTAGGAAGAAAAAACATGATTGCAGAAGGATGGACTGGTAAGTTGTATGTAAATCCAAATATATACTGCCTATATAATAATACTGATATTGACAATAATGTCTAACTTCAGGATTAAATACTAATCAACAATAACAGGTAAGGCAGGAGGGGTTGAGAGGAGTTAAAATAATTGAACTTCCTTTTATTTTGCAAGAAGTTAAGGATATCTTCCACAAAGTTAAAGATCTTGTTAGCTTTAGAGTTTAAGTTAAATAGACTTACTAATTACCAAGAATAATCACCAAAAGACTAGAAATAGGGTTTACGTATTTCAAAAAAGGAAGAGAAAAATACACAGGCCTTCTGATTTGGAATCCAGAACTCTTTTCCCTAAAAAGAGATAAGGGGCAGATTACCTACAATGAGTGTAGGAATGCCACTGACTGTACAGTGGAATAATATATTTAATATGCTGAATAAATATATTTAACAAAACCAGTCCCTCTCTCCACACAAGTTGTGTGAGCTGGTGGCCCTGGAGCCTGGAGAGAGCAGAGTCCACCTTCCCCACTATTCTCACACACCTGTTGCTGGGGCTGAAGATGAAAAATGCACTGGCTTCAGGCATGGGCACAGCCTTTTCCTTGAGGTGCAGCTCCGAGAGTGGGCGTGGGCGTGGGCCCACGGGCATCTCAGGCTCCTCCTCATCCTCCTCTCCTGAAAGAAAAAAAGCACCTTCTAAATAACTCCATTTACTTTCACCACTGTGCTGCCTACTTTGGATGCCTTCCTACTGACAAGAATCAAGGCATCATTTGTATTTCTGAAAACATAAGGTACCAACCAAGACAGACACTCAGCTTTCTCCCCGTGGGCACCACTGGAATTCATCTACGTTAGAGAAAGACTTTGCTGGCAGTACCTGATAAGAGGGGTGACTGACTCATGCTGGTTTTCCCAGAACTGTACTGGTTTTTAAACTGGTTTTAAAAATCATGATATTTATACATGAGTAAGGATCTTAAGTTTCTGCCTAGCTGTGTGTTTTCCTTTCAGTTTTGCTCCAGATAATCCAACACTTTCTTAGTCATGATAATTTGGTAACAGGTAATTTAATGATTATCTTAATTATTTGTGTTTATAGAAAACAAACAAACGTATTTACTAGCGTTGTGCTTTCCTAAGCGCCTCACGAGGGACTTTGGGTGCTCTTTCACCTGCAACAGTCCACCCGGGCACCGGCTCTGACCTGGCCCCGCCCCTTTGTTCTCTCTGCTACAGGCTCCTTCCGGCTCCTCCTCAGAAAAGCGCATTCCACTTCAGAGATTCTGCACTTGCTAGACCCTCCACCTGGACAGCTCTTCCCTCTGATTTCCACATGTGTGGTTCAGGCTTCCCCATGATTTCTTCAGCTTCAGCTCACATGCTGCCTCCTCGAAGAGGTCTTCATGGGCCTAACAGCAAAGCAGCAGCCCCATTAACTCAAGCACAGCCCTCGGCTCTGGATCTGATGTTACCTTTCTGGCTGGCTTGTTTTTTTGCACATTGTCAGTCTCCCCACTGAAATGTGAGCTCCAGGAAAGTAGGAGTATCCGGTGCCTGCCACAGTGCCTGGCACACAGTAGGTGCTTACTAAGTAGTTATTAGTGAATGAATGTCTCCAAGGTTTCTTCCAGCTTTGTGTCTTGACAATAGTGGTCCTGAAATAACTTCTTCCTTCTTCAGTTCTCTGAACTCAAAGCCCATTCAAGGCAATCCTTGCCCATGAAGCTTCCCTGGCATCCCCTACCTCATTGCTCTCCTCAAACCCCTTGCAGCAATTTGAGTGACCCCCACATTTGGCCCTGAACTATACATCCCCTGATACCCTTCACATTTCTTCTTCATTGTCCTCATTAATTTTAAGATCTTAGTGACTTTTAAGAACATGCGTATGTTCACGCAAGTAAATTAATCAATTACATAAGAGCACAATCTTGGCAAAATGCTTTCCTTCCTGGGCAAGTAGATATTTCTAACGTTGAGTGCATACGAAACTGGGAGGCTAAAACCACCCGGTGAGCTTTGGAGATTAAACTCAGAGGGAAGGACTGACTGGCCATCTCTGGCCTCTGAGGCTGCTCTGAGGATTAGGAACAGGCCCTCCTTTGGGTGTCCCCGAGAGGGCAAGGGGCTGTGGCCAGCAGAGTGCAAGCTACAGTTCAGCCTTACTCAGCATCTCCAAACACACCTTTGGTGCAACTTGGACAAGTAAACAGAACAGCCTACAGAGAGGGGCGATGGCAAAGGGAGCAGGAGGGGCAAGGAGGGAGGAGAGTGTAGGATTGCTCTCCAGCTCTGACCTCCCCCTCTGGAAGGCTGGTGGCAAGTGGGGCACAAGGACGCTCACCAGAGCTGCCCCCAAGGGGCACAGCAGGGCCAGCTGCCCCAAAGCTGTGAAAGCAGAAGAGGCAGTGGTTGGGAGGACACCGCAGATCAGAGGAGAAGCAGGCAGGAACAAGGTACTGACAAGAGCAGAGACAACAGGTCAAGTGACCTTGGAGGAGACATTGGGAGTGTCTGCTGCACCTGGTACTAAGGGAGCCAGGAGCTGCTTGCCCAGGCAGGAAGGGGGAGCAGGAGCTGGGAAGCAGATGCTGAGTTAGCCTCGGAGGAGAGGGAGGGGCTTAGGAGCTGCTTTTAAGGCCTGAGGGGTGGTGGTGGGGAGCCACAGAGGCAGGTTAGCCTCAGCCTCGGTTATGGACCAGAGGTGGGAGAAGTGTAGGACCCAAAGAAACAAAGGCCTGGGTAGAAAAGAGGCTAGAGGAAGGTGGCCACATGATCAGGGAAAAGAAGAGATCCTAAAAACATCTAAAGACTCCTGAGGAGTCAGCAGTGTGGGAATAGCTTTTCAGTTTAAAAGCAAAACCTTTCCAAGAATCCTTAAAGTCGGTCAACAGAGACACTTCTTTGATGACTGATACCAGGACAATAGTATCCTTATTAGTCCTTTTCCCCTTGACCTGCTTCTTTTTTATTTCACTTCTTTTTTATTTAGAGCAACAGAGAAGAGAACAGCCATGAGTCTATTTAGAATGATGAATTTGCAGCTATTGTCCTAGGTTCGTGTCTGCCCGAGCCCTGAGGGAGAATGGCTGTGGGCAGGGCTTCCTGAAGCCTCTGGCAGGTGGACAGATAGCTTAGGGTCCAGAGGTATTTGTTTTATTACTGTCTTTCCTTTTAAACATTAATAACAATAATCATCCTTATAATAATCCTATGAGTAGAGAGCCTCACATGGTGGATCTCCATACCCAACTCCAACAACTATTGATAGTTTGCCCATCTTGTTTCATTTACTTCTGTTCCCGTTTTTTAAAAAGTGGATTATTTTAAAGCAACCTCTAAATATTTTAGACTCCAGCTATAAACACTTCAGCATTTAAAAATAGAATTAAAATGATATCATTATATTAACAAGACTAACAAAAACTAAAATTGTTTAGTTCTAGTCCATATTCAATTTCCCCTAATTAGCTAAAACAATGTCATTTCAAAGTTTATTTATTCATGCAGGATCAAGACAAAATCCTTCCTTGCGTTTGGCCAATATTTCTCTGTCTTTGAAATTCTGTGATGGTTTCCACCTAGAAGGGCTTTAAAACTTCAAAAAGCTTAGTGCCTGCACCTGGATACACCCTGTGGCCCTCCTCCAAGGCCAGGAGCCCGCCCTGCCCTACTTCCCTTGCAGAGGGAGGTGAGAGAAGGGAATGACCGCAGGGAACCTGCTCCCAGGGACAAGGTGGCTGCTGGTGCCCTTACAGAGAATACAGCAGAGAACCGGGGGAGGGAAAGCAAAAGGAAAACCTAGCTTTGCTTATAAGTGCAGAAGGTTGTCAGCCACCTAAGGTGGCTACCAACCCAAATATACCCTAGCCTACACAGAGAAGGAAATGTCAGTAAAATCAGCAGTCCCTTATTGCATGTACTTGAGTGCAAGCTTGAAGCTGGTGGGAATATCTTCAATTGTAGGTAAAAGGGAGGCAAACCTAGGGCTGGCACAGGACATTGGGTTGCAGGAGGCAGAGAACTGAATCCTGGAGGGAGGCGGAAGGAACTCTGACAACCCAAGCCTCCCAGCGGAGCCTGCCTGCCATGTACAGATCAGACAGAAGATGAGAAGACCGAGTGGTACTAGCTCTTTTTATAATAAGAGACCTGAAAGTGGTTTACAAAGCGGCAAGTGGGACATCTGTGGTGGCAGCTGTCCTTGTACTCAGCACTGCCTCCTGAGTAAGGACATGGCAGATTTGGAATTTACTATTATTATTTTGTGTGCATGATGCTGTGACATATGTTAGACTAATGAATTACATAATAATAATGATTTTACAACTTAAGATATAATAAAACCTTAAATGTATACATAATCCATCTTCCAAAGGACACGACAGCACTGCTCAGACCTAATTTACTCAGTCTTATACTATTATTATGAGCAAACCAGGAGCAGCTTTCCCCGCAGATGATCATTGGTAACGCTTCAGTGCAGACTGGAGATACTGAGCAACTCAAGGTCCTTGTAGAGGAAAACTGGAACCATTGACCCCTAACACATGGTTACTTTCACATGGCTTTAGGTCTCCTCCATTCCCTTCCCCCAGCCCCCAGTTCCCCCCAGTGGCAGGCAGGGGAACCATACCTGTCACTTCCGGGTTGGGGTAGACACCCTTGTCCTCATTTTCATTGGGCTGGAGGTCATCCATGTTGATCTAGGCAGCCGAGGGAGAAAGAAGGAAAATCCAGTCAGATATGGCCCAACTTTTAGAGGCTGCATTATAGTCAGTGGCTGAGCTGCTGACTCAAAAATATATCCTCATGACTTTGCATAGACCCTTGAGACATTAACAGAGGTTGGGACAATATCACG